GCACTGCAAGGAGCCCCAAGCAGATAAACACCCTGCAGTACCCATCTAAAAAGAGCTGAAGAAATCTAAAGGAAAGGAAAAGCAGGCAACTTAGAATTGCCAGAAAGTTCCAACCTTGTTGATTCCAGCCCAACACGAGGTAAGCTGCCAAAACCCTACAGCCTCCAATTGCCAACATAAGAGGCCCCAGCACACAAAGCCAGTGACCAAGACCTAGGCCCCCAACACAAGAAGCTTGGGTCAGTGCCCTCTGTTCACCAGCAGGGGAGCTCAATCTCTTTATAGGCCAGGGAATAAAGAAACCATGAGTAAAAAGAAACATACCATAGATCATATTATGAGAAGAGTGAAGATCAAGACAGAAATTCTGAAGATAACATTGTCAACAAACCCACATCTGCAACATCAAAAGGGAATATGAACTGGTCTGAAACCCAAAAAGCCTTTTTAGAAGAGCTAAAGAAGGATTCTAAAAGTCTAATGAGAGAGGTAGAACAGTCCTTAAAAAATACAATTGGCCAACTGGGAAAAAAGTACACTGAAGAAAACAAGTCCCTAAAAAGCACAATTGGCAAACTGAAAAAAAGTACACCGAAGAAAACAAATCCCTTAAAAATACAATTGGCCAATTGAAGAAGGAAGTACAAAAACTAACAGAAGAAAACAATCTGTTAAAAACCAGAATTGGCTTTCCCCTGGCTGGCTGTGCAGAGCCCGCACGATGCCCGGAGTCACGGTGAAGGACGTGAACCAGCAGGAGTTCGTCCGGGCCTTGGCCGCCTTCCTGAAAAAGTCAGAGAAGCTGAAAGTCCCCGAATGGGTGGACATGGTCAAGGTGGCCAAACATAAGGAGCTAGCGCCCTACCACAAGAACTGGCTCTACACCCAGGCCGCCTCCAGGGCGGTGCCGGCGTGGGCTCCATGACCAAGATCTACAGAGGGCGCCAGCGCAATGGGGTCTTCCCCAGCCACTTCAGCAGAGGCTCCAAGAGCATGACCCAGAGGGTTCTGCAGCCCTGGAAGGCCTCAAGATGGTGGAGAAGGACCAAGATGGGGGCCAGAAGCTGACACCTCAGGGACAGAGAGACCTGGACAGAATTGCCAGACAGGTAGCAGCTGCCAACAAGAAACATTAGGACAAACCACACCAGATTCATTAATAAATTGCCTTGTTCGTAAAAAAAAAAAACCCTAGAATTGGACAAATGGAAACTAATGACTCTATGAGAGAGCAAAAATCAGTCAAACAGAAATAAAAAAATGAAAAAATACATGAAAACATAAAATACCTCATCGGTAAAACAACCAACCTGGAAAATTGATCCAGGAGAGACAACTTAAAAATCATTGGACTACCTGAAAATCATGATGAAAAAAAGAGTCTGGACAGTATCTTTCAGGAAATCATAAAGGAAAACTGCCTGGAAGTCCTAGAACCAAAGGGTAAGGTAACCATAGAAAGAATACACCGCTTACCACCTGAAAGAGATCCCAAATTGACAACGCCAAGGAATACAATAGCAAAATTCCAAAATTACCAGATGAAAGAGAAGGTGCTGCAAGCAGCCAGAAAGAAGCAATTTAAATATCATGGAACCACAGTGAGGATTACACAGGACCTTGCAGCTTCTACATTAAAAACTGCAGGGTGTGGAACATGATATTCCCTAAGGCAAAGGAGTTTGGATTGCAGCCAAGGATCAACTACCCTGCAAAAATGAGCATGATTTTTCAAGGGCGGAGATGGATATTCACTGAAATAGGGGACTTTCAAACCCTCCTGATGAAAAGACCAGAGCTCAACAAAAAACTTGATCTTCAAGTACAATATTCAAGAAAGACATGAAAAGTAAATGGGACAGAAAGATACAAAATGTTGTAATAAGGGCGGACTGTTTACATCCCTACAAGGGAAGATGACACTTGCAACTCTTGAGAACTGCATTGTTATTATACCACGTTAAAGGAGTATACATAAAGGGGTTGGATATTAGTTGACTTTGACTTAATGATTTAAAAAAATGTAATCAAGTGGGTTAAATGGATCCAAGTAAGTGGATTAGTCTGATCTTAGAAAATGTACTGAGAAAGGAGGAGGCAGACAAGGGTAAATTACATTACAGGAAAAGACAGAAAATCCTATTACAGCAGACAGAAAGAAGGGAGGGGGGGTGAGCATTGTTTGAACCTTACCCTCATCAGATTTGGCTCAAGAAGGGAATAACATAGTCAGTTGGGCATAGAAATCTAACTTGCCCTATGGGCAGTGGGAGGGAAGGGGGGAAGGAAAAAGGAGGGGTGTTAGAAGGGAGGGAAGAAGCAGTAAAGGCAAAGGGAAAAAAAAAGGGAAAGGGATAGTAGAAGGGAGGAGAGACTGAAGGAGGTGGTGGTCAAAAGCAGAACACTAGTGAGGAGGGAAAAGGAGAAAGGAGAAAGAAAAGCATAAATGGGGGGGAAAGGATGGAGAAAAAGACACAGACAGTAATCATAACTGTGAAAGTTGAATCACTATCTTTTTTTTTTCTCTTCCGTTGAGTTTTGTTTCCTCTTTCTGATGGTTCCTCCTATTGGTTTTAATTTTTACTTACAACTTCACTAATGTGAAAATATGTTTAAAAGGAACGTAAATGTATAGCCTATATCAGATTGTGCACTATCTTGGAGAGGGTGGTGAGGAGGAAGGGGGAGAAAAATTTTAAACTCAAAAGCATATGGAAGTGATTGTTGATAAATCAAAATAAATTAATTTTTAAAAATTCAAATACACAGGAAAAAATTTAAAGATGAAGGGGAAATAATTTGTTTAATTATTTTCTTTTAAAATGTAAATATTTCTGATCATGTGGTTTCATTTTATTTTTATTTTTATTTTGTTTGTTTCTATTTGCTCAGTTTGATTTTAGTTTGTAAAAAAGATATTTTTAGAAGAAATTATTTAGTGACTAACAATCTTTTAAGTGAAATTTTGTGAAATAAGAAAGCCAAGCCAAACTCAGTAATGGGAATATTGAAATAAGTTAATGTCATAGAATCATAGAATGTGAGAGGTAGAAGAGACCTTAGATATAAAATATTAGAATTCTCTAACTTAATATATGAGGAAATAGATTAAGTAGTGAAATGATTTGCCCCAGGTCATGGATCTAGCTCATAGAAAAATCAGGATGAATAATTATGTGTCTTTATATAATACTTTAAAGTCTACAAAGCACTTTTCTCATGCTTCTATGAGATAAGTGGTAAAAAAAAAAATTCATTTTTATTTTACAGATATAGATAATGGATCTCAGAGAGGTGAAATGACTTGTCTGAGGTCACTCAAATACCAAGGACTAGAGCCAGGACTTTAACCTAGGTCTCCTGATTCATTGATTTATGGATAGGGAACTTTGTTCCAATCTCAATGCTTCCAGTAGCTAGCTATGTAACCTTGGGGAACTCCTAAGAAATAAGGTAGTGGTCAGCCCTTTGATTTAAGAATATCACTTTGAGGGGCAGCTAGGTGGCGCAGTAGATAGAGCACCGGCCCTGAAGTCAGGAGGACCTGAGTTCAAATCCGGCCTCAGACCAAACACTTGACACTTTCTAGCTGTGTGACCCTGGGCAAGTCACTTAACCCCAATTGCCTAAAAGGAAAAAAAAAAGAATATCACTTTGATAACTGTATAGAAGATGGACTAGAGAGGCAAGAGTCAGAATGCAAGAAAACCAATGAAAAAGTTCAGGAAGAAGCCTAAATTAGAACAGTGGATGTGTAACTGGAGAACAGACAGACGTGTGAGAGAAATTGTGGAGGCAGAATTGAAACAATTTGACAAGTTATAATAGAGGAGCAATAATTGGATAGAGAAAGTAATGCATGAGGGAGAACAGTTCAGAAGTTCTTAGGTTATGAATGTGCATGACTAGAAAGATAGTGCTGCTTTTGACAGAAATAAGAAAGGTAGGAGAAGGAGGAAGTGGGTTTTTGCTGGGGGAAAATGAGTTTCATTCTTGGGTATGCTGTGTTTGAAATTCCTATGGGGTATACAGGTGAAGATATGTAGTAGACAGTCAAAGATATATGCCTGGAATACAACACATTGATAAACTATGACAACTAATTAGATGACAGTCAGACACAGAGATGGAGAAAGATAAAGAGGGACAGACAGAGAAAAAGAGAGAGCCCACACAGTAGGAAGCAGGATATGGATGATAATTCTGAGAGAGAAAGATGGACCAGATAAGTAAGAAAACCAATAGCATCATTAAAATCCCATTGAGGAGAGGAGAGGCTAGAGGAGGGAGTAATCACTGCAGAGAGGTCAAAATGATGGATCTAAGAACGAAAATATCATTGGTGACCTTAATGAGAGTGATAGCTGTCAGGTTGTGAGGTTAGAAGACAGAAGTCAGAACACAGAAGTAAATGAAAGGTAAGAAAGTGGAGGTAATGGGAATATACAGCTTTTTCTAGCATTTGGGCTATGAAAGTGAAAAGAGCCATAGAATAATAGTTTGAGGGAGTCAGTGAAGTATATGGGGTGCAGGAGGATGGGTAGATATAAGCATGTTTGTAGACAATAAGGAAGGAATTAGAGAAAAAGAGGGGATGATCAAAGGGTCGTATTATCAGAGAAGATAAAAGGGAGTGGATCAAGAAACTAATGGAGAGGTTGACTTTGGAAAAGATAAGGGCTTTCTCTTCCTCTGAGACTGGATAGAAGGAGGAGGGAATGGATGCTGATGTGGAAAGGATTTAAAGTGAGAAGTTAGAGCCCGGAACAAATTACCTCAATTTTTTTCTCAGTAAAACATGAAATGAGATCTTCCACAGCAAGGGAGAGGGAATATGTGGTGTACATAATTTGAGGAAATAAGCTAAGATTTGGAATAGAAGTATATGAAGAGGTAGGATAGAGAATCAATCAGGGAAAAGGGGGAGGACTGATTTACAGCCATTACTGCTGTAACACTTTATTTAAATGTCAATAAAACAATTATATTTTCCTCCTTACCTTTCAAAGCTTCCACTTTCTCAGTCTTCCCTTTATATTCTTTCCTGATGTTTCTGATTCTGAAAGAATGATAAAGTAAACACATAGCTACAGTCTTTTTCATTATTAGAGCTGGCAATATCAGCCCTGAAGTCCAGAAGATAGATGCTAAAACACCTAAAACCTATCCATTTCATTTAACTTTTGCCCAAGTCTGGTCCTGGTGTAACTGATAAGATCCATTAAATTTCCACCAATTTTTTTTCTATACTCACATAATTCATTACCTGATGGCTTCTTTCCCATGGAATTCTGGAGATACTGGTTCAAAAGAGTCAGAGCAATATTCAGGGCTGGTCTCATTCTCTATGACTTTGTGCTGTTGATGTTGAGACTTTAGAAAAAACAGGGGAGAATGCCGGTATCCATACTCATCTAATTTAACAAAAGGATATTATATATTGGGTCATATCACTTTATTTTTTTTTCACTTTCAATATAAATTTATTTATTTTTGGTTTTCAATATTTACTTCCTCAAGATTTTGAGTTCCGTATTTTCACCCCATCTCACCCTAAGGTGGCATGCATTCTATATATCCCTTCCCCTAGTCTGCCCTCTCTTCTATCTCTCCCCCCCTTCTCTTGTCCCCTTCCCCTTCTTTTTTTCTGTAGGACAGGATAGACTTCTGTACCCCATTTCCTGTATTTCTTATTTCCCAGTTGGATGTGAAAACTTTTTTAAACATATGTTTTTAAAACTTGGGTTCCAAATTTTTTCCTTTCCTCCCTCTCCACCCACTCTCACTGAAAAGGCAAGCAACTCAATATAGGTTATATATGTGCGGTTACGCAAAATATTTCCGTAGTGGAGATGTTGTGAAAAACTACCTCTATTTCCCTTAATCCTATCCAGCCCTCCCATTTATTCTATTCTTTCTTTTGACCCTGTCCCTCCTCAGAAGTATTTACTTCTGATTACCCCCTTTCCCAGTCTGCCCTCCTTTCTATCATCCCCCTGCTCTCTTGTCCCCTTCTCCCCCTATTTTCCTATAGGTAAGACAGATTTCCATACCCAATTGAACATGTATGTTATTCCTTCCATAAGCAAATCTATGAGAAAAGATTCACTCATTCCCTCTCACCTTCTCCCATTTCCCCTTTACTGTAAGAGCCTTTTCTTTTCTGGTTTTTTTTTTTTGTGAGATAATTTACCCCATTCTACCTCTCCCTTTCTTCTTTTCCTAGTATAATCCTCTCTCATCCCTTAATTTTATTCTCCAGATATGACCCCTTAATCATCAACTCGGCCTGTGCCCTCTATCTATCTATCTATCTATCTATCTATCTATCTATCTATCTATCTATCTATTTATCTATCTACATACATATAATTTTTTCCCTCCAACTACTCTAATACTGACAAAGGTCTCATGAGTTATAAATATATCTTTCCATGCAGGAATGTAAACAGTTCAACCTTAATAAGTCTCTTATGATTTCTCTTTCTTGTTTACCTCTTCATGTTCCACTTGAGTCTTGTATTGGAAAGTCAAATTTTCTATTCAGCTCCAGTCTTTTCATCAAGAATGCTTGAAAGTCCTCTATTTTACTGAATGACCATTTTTTCCCCTGAAGGATTATGCTCAGTTTTGCTGGGTAGGTGATTCTTGGTTGTAATCCTATCTCCTTTGCCTCCAGAATATTATATTCCATGCCCTGCAGTCCTTTAATGTAGAAGCTGCTAAATCTTGTGTTATCCTATATGTGTTTCCACAATACTTGAATTGTTTCTTTCTGGCAGCTTGTATTTTTCTCCTTGACTGGGAACTCTGGAATTTGGCTAATATTCCTAGGATTTTCCTTTGGGGATCTCTTTCAGGAGGAGATCAGTGGATTCTTTCAATTTCTATTTTGCCCTCTGGTTCTAACATATCAGGGCAGTTTTCCTTGATAATTTCTTGAAAGATGATGTCTAAGCTCTTTTTTGATCATGGCTTTCAGATAGTCCAATAATTTTTAAATTATCTCTCCTGGATCTATTTTCCAGGTCAGTTGTTTTTCCAATGAGATTTTTCACATCGTCTTCTATTTTTTCATTCTTTTGGATTTGTTTTACAGTGTCTTGATTTCTCATAAAGTCACTATCTTCCAATTGCTCTATTCTAATTTTTAAGGAAGTATTTTCTTCAGTAATCTTTTGGACTTCCTTTTCCATTTGGCCAATTTTTCTTGTTAGGGCATTCTTCTCCTCATTGGCTTTTTGGACCTCTTTTGCTATTTGGGTTAGGCTATTTTTTAAGGTGTTATTTTCTTCAGTATTTTTTGGGGTCTCCTTTAGCAAGCTGTTGACTTGTTTTTTCATGATTTTCTTACATCACTCTCCCTTTCTTTTCCTAGTTTCTCTTCTACTTCTTTTACTTGCTTCTCAAAATCCCCTTTTGAGCTGTTCCAAGGCCTGGGACTGATCCATATTTTTCTTGGAGGTTTTGGATGTAGGAGCTTTGACTTTGTTGTCTTCTTCTGGTTGTATATTTTGATCTTCTTGGTCACCATAGTAAGATAATACAGTCTGACTCTGTTTGAGCTGCTTGCTCATGATCCTGGCCAATTACTTGAGTTTTAAACTCTTTGTTAAGGTAAGAGTCTGCTTCCAGTATGGAGAATGTACTGTCCCAAGCTTTGGGGGTTTGTACAGTTGTTTTCTGAGATACTTGTAGAGACCTGTACATTTTCAGTTCTTCCAACGTGGTATAAGGGGCGAGTTGTTTATTCCTTTCCTGGACTGTGCTCTGGTCTATTAGTGACCACAAGCACTCCTTTCTGTCCTGGAACTGTGAGGAAGGTTTCCTCTCCACAGCCATTACAAGCTCCACCAGGCCAGCACTCCTCCTCACCCCAGGACTGCCTCCCAGAACTGTGACCCAGATCCAAGCACGGGCAAAGCAAGAGATTCCTGCCTCAGCGCTGGCAAAGAGATCCCTGCAATCCCTCTCTGATCAGCCACTGGATTCCCTCTCAGGCTGTGGGCTGGAAGCTCAGGAGGCAGCTGCCTCTCCAGGGCCACACTCTAGGGGAACTGGAACTGCGACCCCACCCTCCTCTCTCAGCACTGCAGAAACAGACTTTTCCCACTGACCTTCTAAGTTGTCTTTGGCTTTCCTGGGTTGAGAAGTCTGAAAGCCACCACAGCTCCCTGCAATTCAGTCCTCTGTCTGCTCCAGGTCCCCTGTGGCCTGCAAGCCCATACCACACTGCGCTCTCTCCCAGCCCAGTGTGGTATGCCATTCTGGTCAATCATCCAGGTTGTCTTGGGCTGGAAATTTGTTTTACTGTATCTTTTCATGGGTTCTGCTGCTTTAGAATTTGTTTAGAGCCATTTTTATAGGTATTTAGAGGGCTTTAGGGGGAGAGCTCAAGCAACTAACTGCTTTCACTAGGCCAACTTGGCCCCACCCCTCTGGGTCATATCACTTTAGCCAGAGAGTATTAAAGAGCTTGTCAAGTGACTCTGGCAAAGCAGAGGGGAATAAATGTAGGCACAGATTGAAAGAACCGCTGTAGTAAAGAAAGGGATGGCTGCCAAGTGAAGGGAACTGAGAGATACAACGTCCACTGCTTAAATTCAGTAGCAGAAGCTATAACTTACCTCCTGACACAAATAGCAAAGCCATGAAACTTACACAATATAACAGAAAAAAAAATGTTGACATGAAGTGAGAATGGGGGATAACAGATAAAAAGGCATTGAAGAGCTTACTATTTAAAAGCACTACATGGTGAAGAAAAGCCTCTTAACACTAGAAGGACCAGACACATTGATTGCATCAAATGACACTAATTTTTTTTAATTTAAAAATATTTAAAGTATTTTACTATAATTTACTGTAATATCTGCTTTCATAATATTATAATTTCTCCTATTTGTACAGATGTGTTTTAAATATGAATAATAAATTTATTTAAGTATAAATAATTACTAGTAGATGATTTTATGAGTCTATATGTAGGATGAAGAAAATGGCAAACCACTCCAATATCTTTGCCAAGAAAATCCCAACTGGGATAACGAAGAGTGAGACATGACTGAACAGAAATGCTGTAGAGGTTCTCAAGGAATGGCAAAAGTACTAGAGGAAAGCCTCCAAAATGATGGGCACATCTTTTCCAGACGATTTACGTGCATGTGGACTGTTAGGGATCTGTAGGACGTTGAGGACCACAGGCTGTTCATGAGACTTCACTGATGGGCGAAGCCCCTCACGGGTGTTAGTACATGAGCAGAATGTCCTGGCTGGGCTGTCCGGCCACGGACCTTGCACCTCCCAGTCAGCAAAACTCTGAAGCTAGGAGAGCTCAAACTATAAAACAATGTTGCTAGCTCAAGCACAGTCAGCTCTAGCACAAATATGTATCAAGTATTGCTAGCTCACGTATCAAGTATTGGGAACATTCCGGGAACAAGAAGTACATGGTGTTTTTACAGGAGCAGCCCGGGAGAAGGACGCTGTCAGGATAATGTTGCAAAGAGCTGTGCTTGTTGATACTTTGATTGGTATTCGCATGAGAAAAATCCTCGGTGTTGCCTATTGGTAAAGATATGTAAACTTTGTTGCTTCGTCCGCTGTTACATTGGGGTATGTTCCCATGAGTCAAAGATATAAAACGCTGCACTGTGCCTTGAATAAACGGAGCTTCACCATCTTGCCTCCCTGCCTCTCACTGCTCGGCGCAGGGTATCAGGAACTAAGCTGGCCTTAGCATTCCTGGGGAGGGAGAGTTTAAGACTCTCACAGCTACTGAGCTGGACGCGCAACAGTGGACAAGAGTAACACAGAATGGGAAAGTGAAGAGAAGTTGCTATCTGTACTGTTGTAGAGGGTGTACATATAGAAAAGAACAGACTTCCAGTGAAGTAGTAAAAGAGAAGTCAATCTTCTCCATGAAAATCCTATTCTAATGTCTTGCTATAATCAGGGAGATGAACCTGTATTCTTAAAAGTGATGTAAGTGGAGCCCAAGTTCTACCATACTATTGTCATGGAGGACGGGCCAATAGAGCCAAAGTTCTCAGTGTGTGTTCAGCAGGCCAACCCACACCAGGGGTTGGTGAGGCTGCCTCTGGAAGTGCATAATGACACGTAATGGGGGGTTCTACTCTATTTCAGAGAGTATAATAGATATTCTGAGCCTTTTTCTTATCTGCTTACTACACGGTGAAAAAAACTTCTTAACACTAGAAGGACCAGGCACATCAATTGCATTATATGACAACTATTTATTGTTTAAAATTTTTAAAACAATTTTGCTATAACTTCTATCCATGCAAATGTATTTTAAATGTAAACAATTGCAAGCAGATATTATTTTACTTTGCTATAAAATTTTTCATCCTATTAGCTCTATATTCTTTGCTTGTAGGAAAAAAGTGTATCAATTGATACAGCTCAGTTCTTTGAGGTATGTTTAAATTCTAACCCTTCTAGTTTAACAAATGCTGAGCCAGAACATATGTGTGTATACAAAACGCTAGAAGGTAGGAATCCAGCCTTTCTATTTCTCTTCTGGCAGTGACTGAGGCAAGAACTGTGGAAAGCCTGGGAAGTTATGGGACAAAAAAGAGAGGTAGCACAAACAATCTCTTCTCCCTATCTGGCCTGATTTATGCACATGGTGCCTCTTCTCATCTATTTTTTGCTGGTCTAAGGTAAATAAAGATTGACCTATTGGTCAGACTCAGACCATGTAAGCTTTGAAAAGCAAGAAAAACTACATGAAGGGGCAGCTAGGTGGTGCAGTGAATAGAGCACTGGCCCTGGATTCAGGAGGACCTAAGTTCAAATCCAGCCTCAGGCACATAACACTTACTAGCTGTGTGATCCTGGGCAAGTCACTTAACCCCATTGCCTAGCCAAAAAAAAAAGCAAAAAAGAACTACATGAGATCCACAAACTAGAATCCACAGAGCTTGCCAGCACCTGAGCCCAATGACCCAGACCCAGCCCTTGAAGGATAGATGACCTTTGTGAAACAATCCAGCAGTGAATCAACTCAATGGCCAACATATCATATCCTGAAAGCAGAGGAGTGATTCATCCAACAGATAAGCCTCACTCAGAAGTAAACTTGATGGGATGAAATGCTAATTTTGAACTCAATCTCCCACTGGTTCAGGGAGATGTATTTATATTTCTGTTCCCCCTTTTGTAAAACAAAATTTATGTTGATTGCTTATTGATGATATCAAGGAGATATCACCAGATTAACTAATATTGAGTCAGTTATCACTGGTGAGTAATAGTAAAGAGAAATTATGTAGTTTGGTGATATTAGAGAAATACTGAGTGGTCACATGATGTTAGGTAGAACACACCAGGAAGGAGGCCCAAATTAACAGCAGTGGAAGAATTGCTGCAATCCTTTTGGGTTACTCCTAAAACCCTAAAGAAGAGATGTAGCATTTTAACATTATTAAAAGAATAGTAACAACCATTGGTTCCCAGCGAAGGAGGCTGTCTCCAAAATGACCTCATTGCCTGAGATTCTTGGGAGGATGAACTCTTAGCGGAGGAGCCATAAGTTTGGACCCAGCCTTTTGACTGAGTCCAAGTTTTACAGAACAAATCCTTTTATTAAGGGAATTTGTTCTGTGAAGTTTGGATTCAGTCAAAGGGTCTCACTTGAGGACCTAGAGGGCTGCATGTGACCCTGAGGCCACAGGTTCCCCACCCCTGTGCTAATATAAATTAGCCAGCCAACATGATCAGCCCATTTTAACCATTTGTCTCATTTAAAGAATAGCCCACAGGTCATTAGAGCAGATATAGATTCAAAGTCTCTATAGTCTTCTCCTCATAGGAACCATTAAGGGTCGTTTTAAAGCAGAAGTAATCTGGATAGATTGGAAATTGAAAATAGCATTTAGAAAGCTAATACAATAATCTAGGTAAGAAATGATGAAGGCAGGATCTAGTGCAGTAACAGTGTGAGTGGGAAGAAGGGAATAGATGTGAGAAATGTGTAACATCACATGGGTTATCATCAACAGAACTTTTAAAGTTTTAAATGATTCATAAAAGCACTATTACTTACTTGGTAAGATCTTGTCAAAATACAATGTCAGTGCCAAATACAAGATGGTATCAAAAACCAGCATAAAAATTGTTGCCATTAACATATGTGATCTCCCTGTGGGGTCATAGAAAGTAACACTTCTCAAGTCGTAATCCAACCATACGATCTGAAAGTACAACAAATAAATGCAAAAGCAAAAATGATATGTGTGGAAGAGGCTTGGAGCCGGGGGGCAGGGTCCAGTTAAAACAGGGATAACTCTTGATAGAAATTGTAACTTGTACTTAAAATGGCTGTCATCAGGGCAGCTAGATGGCACAGTGGATAGAGCATTGGCCCTGGATTCAGGAGGACATGAGTTCAAATACGGCTTCAGACACATAACACTTACTAGCTGTGTGACCCTGGGCAAGTCACTTAACCCCATTGCCTAGCCAAAACAAAGCAAAACAAAAAAAATGGCTGTTATCAAGTGCATATAAATATTGAAGTCAGCAAGGTATAGTTGTTAGAGAACTGGACTTGGAATCATGAAGACCTAAGTTCAAAACCATCTCAGTCACCGACGAGTTGTGCTAACCTCTCACTTTTCTCATCTAATAAAACAAGGGGCTTGGACTCAATGGCCACTAAAGTTGCTTCAAACTCTAGTTCTATCATTTTATAATCATTGCTAGGATTGATGATATTGCTATTTGCTAAAAAAAAAATTGTTGTCACATGTGAAATATGATAAAGGAAGCAGAAACCCTGAAGAGGGATTTAATTTACTAGTGAAATCTTGTGTTACTATTTTAAGAATCATCAAATACTTTAAGAAAAATAAAATCAATTTTGATTTACCACACCATAACCATATTTATTACTATAAAATGTTTGTTGTTGTTGTAGTATCATTTCATGCATGACCCTTTATGAGTCCATTTGGGGTTTTTTGGCAAATACACTAGAGTAGTTTGCCATTTCCTTCTCTAGCTCATTTTACAGATGAGGAAACTGAGGCAAACAAGGTTAAGTGACTTGCCCAGGATCACACAGTTAGTACATTTCTGAGGCCAGATTTGTGTGAAAATGAATCTTCCTCATTCCAATACCGCTATCCACCGCACCACAGGTACATAATATATTATTTTAAAAGAATTTTCAAAGCATGTCTCTGCTCTTTTAAATTAAAAAAATATCTTGGCTGAAAAAAAATCTCAGGTTACTTTTTTTAAAAATGGCAATGGAAGACTAGCATGTGTTGGGAAATTTGAATGCTTGGAACTTTGAAAATAAGAATTATCTTCTAGTATCAGATTCTTCAAGGGAAAAATGTTTTATCACCCCTACTACAAATCTAATAAATGAATGAAATTACCATACTGACTTACCTGGATTATTCCATGAGTAAAGGCAAAGGGACTCAGGAGACATAAAATCCATTCCAAAGATGCAGGAAGTTGTCTATGCAATGAAGCAAATCCCAAACTTCCCCAAAAAACAATAAGGAGGAGTGTGATTGAGCCAGAAAGTACAGGTCTCTTTATCAAAACACACAGCAAGAAAGCAAAAGCTACCTGAAGTGGGAGAAGAACCCCTGTTAGCAACTAGATCTTTGGGAAGTCTTAAAAACTGCAATGAAGGCTCAGATTCTTATAATCTAGCCGCTGCTCAGATTTTTACAACCTAGCCAGTAGCTCACAGGTGCTTGGATTCCTTAAGAGTCTGGCTAATATGGAGGATCTTTAATAAACCTTGTCTTTGGCTGAAGGAAGGCTTGGGTTGAATTCTTTTGGACAGGAGCTGCATGTTGTGATCACAGGGTCCCAGCACCCCTAAACCTCTAGATCTCATCATATGGTTCCCCAACTTGGAAAAACTGCCAAATCCCAAATTCTTCTCCAGCCAAGACTGTAAGACTACAGGCCATTCACCTAAAGTTGGTAACAAACAGCAGGTATCAGCCAATGCCTTCTCATCATTCCCTGGATGTAGCCTGTACTCAGTTCCAATCAACTTCCTCTTTGGGACTCCCTAGAGGCAGGGATCTATGCCCCTTGCCAGCAGAAAGTAGTTTCAGAAGCTGAGACCTTCACCCCTTACCCCAAAAGAATTTCAGTCCCATTTGTTTGAGGGGAGAATGATGGGGTTGAGATCTAGACCCCAAAAAGGGAAAACCCTGGACATTCCCACATGGCCAAATCTCTGACATTTGCCTGAGGCTACAATTCCATCAACTGGTCTTTCATTGTGGCTACACCCAATCTCCCAATTCTTTTACACTTAACCTAGCCTAGCCCTCCATTGTCTTCCCTCCCTATGACCCCAGGCCACTTCCCACCCTTAATCCTATCTAGGCTCCATTCTCCCTTGGCCATGTGGTCCAAGTCCCTGGCATTCTATTACTTCATAGACTACTTGGCCACTCCTAGATCCCTCCCATAGTCTTTCTGTATATAAGGTCCATTTTATCTCCATTAAGATGTTTAGATTCTTATAATCTAGCCATTGCTCAGATTTTTGCAACCTAGCCAATAGCTCATAGGTGCTCAGATTCCTTAAGAGTCTGGCTAATATGGTGGCTCTGTAATAAACCTTGTCTTTGGCTGAAAAAAAAAACTGCAATGAAATAAGGATATTGGTTTTATAAACTGATCATTTCTCACCCCCATGAGGAATGTCTCACATGAATACAGAAAATAGAACAGAATGGGAGTGACGGCAATGGCACATATTTTATTCTGTGTCTTTAAGGCCTGAGTACAGAAAGGATATTCGGATCACCAACTCACCAAGGAAAGACCATAAACAAAGAATAGAACGAATATCACAAAGTAGCCAGTGATGATTACAAGTTGGAAACATGTTACGGCAAGTGCCACACAGGTGGCCATGATAAAAATGAATCCAGCATACAGCACACCCCAGGAAAGCCTATGGTGAAAACAGAGCATTATTTCAATGTTTTATATGCAGTTGAACTTTGAGGAAGAGGCAGGGAGAGACATCAACATCATTGTATGTAAAACACTTATTTCCCCTGCAATAGTAGAAAATGTTTATGAACAACTAAAATCTCACCTCCTTCAATATGAATCTATTCCTTTTATTCAGTTGCTTGCGGACATTTTACAAGATATAAACATCATCTCAGTAAAGTCTTCATATGTGATTTGTAATTATAAAGTAATGTAAGTGGATTTGTTAAACCAACAAGTCATAATTTACACACCCATTGCGATACAAAACTGATTTGAGTTTTAGCCATCAAAGTCCTCACTTTGGTAAGTACATAATTTTGTGATTCTTTCATTAATTAAAACATTTCACTTATTAACAAATCACAAAAAGTCACTGCCATAACTTTATGGTTACATCTCCTGTTTGATAGCAAATAGTACGATACGTTATTTCTACCCCCACCCTCATCTTACTCAATAAATTCCAATGGCTTCCCATCACCTTTAGGATCAAATATGAAATCTTCTGTTTAGCATTCAAAGCTCTTCATAACCTAACCTCCCCTGCCTTGTTAGTCTTCTTACATTTTATGATCTCCATGCCCCACCCTGCCTTGAGTCCTATCCCCTCCTGAAAAGTACTCTGTAATCCAGTGACACTGGCCTCCTTACTTTTCCTCTCATAATACATTCCAACTACCAACTACAGATGTTTCTCAGGCTATCTCCTATTCTTGGAATACTATCCTTCATCTCTGCTTCCTGGCTTCCATGGCTTCAAGTCCCAGCTAAAATTTCATCTAATACAGGAAACCTTTCCTGAGCCCCTTTAATTCTAATACTTTTCCTCTGTCAATTATTTCCAATTTATCCTGTACATAGATGTTTGCATGTTGTCTCCCTTATTAGACTTTGGAGCTCTTTGAGAGCAAAGACTATCTTTTATCTTTCTTTACATCCCCAGTGCTTAGTATAGAGCACATAGTAGGCACTTAATGTTTATTGACTCATCTTATTCATAAGATTTACTTCTAAAAGGCTTTTAACTATTTTTAAATCTCAAAATCTCCCTTTAAGAAAACTAACTTCACTGAAGATGTTAAAAAAAAAGACACAAGTTCTGAAGCCATTACCCAAAAAATCAATGCAAAAATGCTTTGAGCACAGGCCACATCACTGAATCTTTTTAATGTTTAGATTCTCAGGGAAAATTTTGATTTCATAATTTTTGTCATGTTTGTTAAAAACCATTCTCATTACTTTGCCATCACACCACAAATACACACACACATACACACACACACACACACACACACACACAATATACAATCTTCTTTCAGCTAAGCTAACCAATTTCAACTCCTTAACTTATATTCCTAAGCCCTGCTTTCCATGATTTTGTTCAGTTTTTTCCATTCCTTTAGAAATCTTTTAGTTTTGCCACATTCTTTAAAAACTTGTAATGATCAGCACTGTAACAACTGGAGGTGATGGTACAAGTAGAGACTATTTACTTGTTTAAAGACATGGTTTTTGGTCAGTCCCATGACAACTGGAAACCTTTTGGTTTATTTCATATCTTTTTCAATTTAGGTAACTATGATTCTCTAACTGGCTGCTTATCCCTGTTCATTTATTTGTTTGTTAGAATTTCTATAAGGAAGTAAAATAATTACTTGATTTACCAGAATGCTGAATCTTGGAGACCCATCATTTTCATCCATTCCTTGGCCTTTTTCCTCTCTTGTGTAACATTGAGTGATGCGAAGTATATCAATGGGGTGAATGAAATTATGTAGAAGAAAATAATTAACTCGTGCCCAATTGTCATTTTAGAAATGAAAGGTGGTGTCTTCATTCTTATTCCAGTGACTGCCATCATTTTATCCATCACTGAATGGTTTGTTGTGATCTAAAGAATGACATTAATGTAGAAAACCATCATCTCAAATATAGGAACAGACAAGAAAAAATGACCAAAATGTTTTGATTTATTGTTTTTAATTTTTTAGTCTACATTCACATGCATGCTACACTATTAAAGCATCAAATATCATCCTTTGTCAATATCCCAATGCACTTCACATTATTAATTTGCCTTAATCCTTACAATCTTTCAATTATATACTTACTTCTATAATAGCAGCATTCATGGCAGCTTGAAAGGCGACAAAACCTTTATCCCAATATGTTTCAAGTAAACATCTGAACTCTTGATAATTACCATAGCAATGAGCTTTAAACAAGAAGAAAAGCACAAACTACCATGAAATAGGATACATACAATGTGATTAAAATTAGAACTATTTGGATCTATGCAAATGGGTACAAATTATGCTCTTTTTTTGCCATCTGGCCTTCGATTACACCACTTCTCTACACCTAGAGTGGCATTTAATATATGTATATATACAGACACACATGTGTATTAACATACATATACATGTATTTGCATGTGTATATATACACTCCTGCATATATCTATATATTCCTGCATATGCATATACAATGTATGTAATATATATCTGTCAGTTACCTGTATAGAGATGAAAATTAAACACACAGGAGCTGATGAGGTCATCAAGAGAGTGCATATACGGAGAGAAGAGAATAAGGCCTAGACTAACCTTGGGGAAAGCCCATAGCCAGGTTATAATATGGATAATAAGCCAGTAAAGGAAACTGAGGCGATATTAGACAGTCGGAAAACCAAGAGAACATAGTGTCATGAAAAGCCATAAAGGAGAAAGCATACACAAGGAGAAGGTGTTCAACAATGTTAAATACAGCAGACAGGTCAAAAGAGTTGAGAACTGAGAAAAAAAATAGTCAGATTTGTTGTTTAGGTATCATCAATCAACTGTCAAGATCAGTTTCAGTTGATCAATGAGGTTAGAAACCAGATTTGCAAAGAGCTGAAGAGTTAATGAGAAGAGAGAAAATGGAGGCTCCAAGTATAGGAAGGTTTTTCTCAGAGTTTAGCTGAGAAAAGGAGGAGAGATATAGGACAATAGCTTAAGGGACAAGTGAAAGTTTTTTAAATAAGATGAAATCCTCGGAATGTTTGAAGATGATATGGACAGAACTCAGATAGGAAGAAGTTTAAGAGGAAAGGAAGGGATGGCTCAAGTTGGAATCTATTGTAGAAGACAGAGGTAGATGGGAGTGAGAAGAACATGTGGACAAGGAGAAGAACATCTCATTTTCAGAGACTAGAGGGAAGAAAGAGCAAGTTGGGGCTGTTGTCAAGAGGTTTTAAAATGGAGATAAGGAAAGAAGAGGAATTCAACTCCTATAGGCTTAATTTTCTCAATAAAGTAAGAGGAAAGGTCCTCTACAGAGAGAAGTTGAGGGTTATATGTATGAGAGGCTTGAGGAAAGTAGAGATTTGTAGAATATGCCCTTCATGTAACAGAGCCTATTTCCCCTCAGATGATCATGACAAGTTCTGCACTTCCATATCTGAGTTGTTACTTCAGCTCACTACAGGAAATCTGAGTCTTCAGGACTCTGCCACAACTGTTCCTGTTGCAGATAAGAAGGTGTTCAAGGGCAGGCAGGACACAACTATATCAAGGCCTCAGGTAGGAATCAAATGATAAAGAGCATGAAACTTCCCTGGGCTATCTTGGTGCTGCTTTGTCAATACCTCCTGGGAAACTTCAATGTCTACACTTCCCAGCAGGTCAAAGACCAGCATAGATTATAAGATGCTTGCTACCCCTACTTCTTTCTCCTTCTAGTCTTCTTCAGAATCCTTTTTCAAAGCCTCCTGCCTCAGAAACATGTGGTTAGTCCATACAGAGCCTTCAGACAGAACTTTTTCCCCAAATGACTGAGTCTTCCTGGTTCCCAACTATTGTATGGCAATGGCAGGCCTCCTGTGAACATCCCCTTATGATAACATTAGATTAAGCTTTGTAGCAATAGATAATAATGATTATTGTTTTTGTTCATTCAGTTAGAGTCATGTCCAATGTTTCATGACCCCATCTGGGGTTTACTTGGCAAAGATACTGAAGTGGTTTGTAATTTCCTTCTCTAGCTCAATTTATAGATGAGGAAACTAAGGCAAACAGGATTAAGTGACTTGCCCATGGTCACACAATGAGTAGGTGTCTGAGGACAGATTTGAACCCAGGAAGATGAGTCTTCCTGCTCCAGGCCCAGTGCTCTATCCACTGTGCCACCCAGCTGCCCCTAATAATGGTTATACTGACAGTTAAACATCCCACCCGTATATGCCTCTAAATTCTTTGAAATATAGCTCCCAATTGTGCAACAATTATGAAGATTAAATTTACATAGTTGCTTTGATAAAGAATTTATTTTGATAAAATAAATATGGGGTGAAAGTAAGCAAAGAATTCAGTACAATGCTGAGATTATGAATCTGGGAGATTGGAAGAATAGCAGAGCATAAAATTAGCCCTAATGGGCTCAAAACTCAGAATCCATTGATAAAACTGGAAGAGAAAGCCTCACCCTTGAGCAGAAGTTTATGCTACATTTAGCAAAACCATCCCAGGTATAATTCAAAAGAAGAAACTAATCATTTTCAAAAACAGTAGTCTCTAATGTTTTTGCTTAACACAACCAAATAAGTAAAAGCATTTGAGCATGTACCTCCAGAACATGCGTATTTGCTTATTTATAAATGACATACACGTTCTGTGATACTAATAATTGTATATGCTATACAAGTTGCACATTTTTTTAAAGGAAGAGAAAAAGATAAAATGGTATTTGATTTTAGAGTCATTGTGGGAGGGGGGGTCATAAGTTTATTGAGTGAATGAGTATCATAATCAGATCTGTGCTTTAGGAACAGTCAATTGGACAGCTGTGAGCAATGGATTGGAGTGTAGAGAGATTAAGAGAAGAAAAATAATTAGAGAGCTATTGCAATAGCCCATGAAAGATGAGAGCCTGAAGGATAGTGGTGGTAGCTATATAAATGAAAAAAGGGGGTATTTATGAGAGATATTTTAGAGGTAGAAATCAACTAGACTTACCAATTGATTGTGTGGCATGTGAGAAAGTAAGAAGTTATATGACACCAGTACTGTGAACTTGGGTGACTGAAAGGATGACAGCATTCTAAACAGGAAACAGGAACATTCAGAAGAGAGGAGAGGGAAGAAAAGATTTATGCAGGTGAGGTTAGAGGGTAGATAATGGAATCACACCTGTGATACAGATTACAGACCATCCATTTTATATGTACGTGTGTGTGTGCAGGGCGGAAATGGGGGGAAGGAGGAAATAGAGAGAGAGAGAGAGACAGACAGACAGACAGACAGACAGACACAAAGATGAACAGATCAACAGACAGGGAGGCAGCATGATATAGTGGAGAGAGCTTGCCTTAAAACCAAGAAAACCTGGGTTCACTTCCTGTCTATGATACATTTTGGTTATGTGACTCTGAAATTCTGAACAACTTAATTACATTCTCAGTGCTCTAAGCAACTTTATAAGATTCTAAGTTGCACAGGATGTTGGCCTGCATTGAAAGAATTTCCTTGACAGTGAATTCTCTATACAAAGAAACCACATATTCAGTCCCTATTCATAGTCTATCCATATAAAGAAAAAGTAAAGAAGCTGGGGGGGGGGTGGAATACACACACACACACACACACACACACAACACCATTTCATTAACTTGTTTGTCAAGAGTTGCCCAGTAAGAAGAAACTATTCTCTGTTTTAAAAAAACTTATCTGAAATGGGATATACATTGTGCCCTCTGTATCACATAGCTCCTTCTTCCAGTCACCCATCTAAGTCTTCCACGGCTTACTTTTTTTTTTCAAGCATGGGAAAATTACCTCCGTGGTCTTTGTTCTCCTCAATTGGTGGAATTCTGTGTCCCCAAAAAAACTTCAATTCATATGAGAAAGTATCATGAAAGATGATCCCCACAATTTCGGTCCCATTTTCTTCTATTATTACATCTATGGCTTCTTGATCTAGGGTTCCAAATACATTTATTCCTGCCATACAGAAGGGAAAAAAACTGTAGATGATTATTAGGTGACTCTTTGAACACAGATATACACGCGCACACACACACACACACACACACACACACACACACATATATGTAATGTATACATGTATACGTGCATATACATGTATATACATACATACATATATATATGTATATGTATATATATGCTAGTACGTGGAGCTCAAATTTTCAGGCAAGGGCAGAGGGCCTTTCTTTATCATGAAAGTGTTACAAGAAAAAATAGTTGGGGTAGTTGGTGTATTTTACCCTGCCAGGCTTACAAACCAGTTTGGGGGTATATAAACATTCCATAACATTTGACTCAGTTATAACAAATTCATTCAAATAGATAGAATATGGTGAATCTGAAATCTAAATTTCAGTCAGTGAGTCAACAAACATGAATTAAGCCCCAGACACTGTGCCAGGCCTTGTCAGGCAGGAATAGGTTTTTGTAAAATCAGAAAAACTACGTATTCTCATAGCATTTCTACATAACACAAAACATAAATCTAAGTGCCCAAAGAGAGAAGAAAATGGACTGATTGGCCAATTGACTATGACATGTTTTTGTTTTCTCTAGAATTTTTGTTAGCTCAATCAGAGAGTGAGATGAGGATGGTTATAGGCCCTGTTGAAGTTCTCTGTCATTTGGAAATTAATATGTGGAATATGCTTTGAAAACTTCCTCTGACATGATTTCTTTCTTAAAAAAAAAAAAGAAATATAGACACTTATTCAAATTAGACCTTTTTGTTCCACAGGTGGGGATTGTAAATATTGCATTGTTATTAAATCCGTACCCATGATTGAGTAAGAATGGCAAACCCAAATTCAAAGATGTGAAACTATGGGTGTATTGGTTCCCTTTTGCCATAAACCTAAGTTTAGAAAATCAGAAGAGAGAATTCTTTGGAATACTGAAATCTCTAAATTGGACTGTACTTAATTAGTTGGGAGTTGGGATAAGGTGCACACCAATTTTTGTTGGTGTAAATATAACCTGATTTTGCATATAATAAAACACCTAGGAAATTATATAAATAATACATTTTATATTGAACCCTACGTTAGACATTTGTGTCTTTTGTAATAAACAAAATAATAACATCAGGTATTCCCACAGGGCTGGTACAGAACATACCTTTCATAAAAGAAGTTGAAGCTATTTTATCTATTATCTGTTGAGTTGTTTTGGAGATGGGTGTATATGCAACCGCAAAGTTAGAATCATTAAATCTATCTATGGGTCCAAGGTCCACAGAAGGCAGTTCAGAAATCTGAATAACACCAAAAATCGATAGTAGGTATAAGTGGAGAACTAAAAATGAAGAGCCGAGCCATTCCTATGTGGCAAAAGAGAAAAGTGACATCAATGAGAATGTTTGTTGAATTAATTAAATATAGTCACAAAGAGGTCAGTGATGATCAAGCAAGAATTTTATTCCCCCTGTGCTCTTACTTCCAAATCAAGTATCTTTAGGCAAAAATCAATTAAAAATTAGAAATAATTCTTGTCATCATGGGGTTAACATTCCAAGACAAACACATTTACAGACGCATAACAGTAACAAAGATCAGGCAGCATGGTATAGTGGAAAGAAAAATGGATTTGGGGTCATAGGACCTAGGTTCAAATACTAGTTCCATTACCTTACTACCTGTGTGACACTGGGCAAATAATTTCAGTTTTCTGTGTCTCTGTTTCCTTCTCTAAAATAAAGAGTTTGTACTACATGTGCCCTAAGGGTCCTTCCCAGTCTAAATGCATTATCCAATGATTCAAGGCTGATCTTCAGACCAGGGACATATAATCCCTATAACTAAGAACATACAAATAAACACGTTTTTCTGTAGAGCGATAAAGACAATGACTCAATATTCAGTACTTTATGGTTTATAAAAATGCTTTTGCTTCATCTTAAAATAAGTGTTTTTCAAGCATTTTGACTTTTGCTTTTCTCTTTATATTTCCAGTTCGCTTCCAATTTGCATTATCCTTCACAGAGAACTTTAGTGTTTTTAGACCTGGACACAGTACTCCAGATGTTATTTGACATGGAGAATGAGAATTAATAGTTCTTTACCACCAGTTCTAAAATTCTTAAATTGGATCATAGATGTAAAACTTGAAGGGACTTTAGAATTATGAAGTCCATAAAGGTTAAATGACTTAGCCAAGGTCACCCAGATGATTTACAGTGGTAGAGCTGAGATTCAAATTTGAGTGCCATGACTATGAGCTCAGTGTGGTTCCATCATGCTACAGATCATCATCTGCTTAAGCATCCCAAATTGTAATGCTGTGGACCCAGTCTCCTCTGTCTCCATGACAGGTGTCTTCAAGTATTTGAGGAGCAGGAATTATATTTATTCTACCTGACTTTAAAGAGCAGTGTGTGGAATTCCAAAGATTTCAATCAATGGTTTTCATTTTGTATCAATGAATAAGGAAAAAAAAAAACCTTTGCAAATATTAGAGTGGTCTAATTGCATCATGAGGCAGCTAGGTGGCACAGTGAACAGAGTGTCAGGCCTGGAGTAAGGAAAACTCATCTTTGTGAGTTCAAATCTGGCCTTAGACACTTACTAGCTATGTGAACCTGGGCAAGTCACTTAGCCTTGTCTTCCTTAGTCCCTCATCTGCAAAATGAGCTGGAGAAGGAAATGGCAAATCACTTTAGTATCTCTGTCAAGAAAACTCCAAATGGGATCACAGAGAGTCATACACAAGTGAAAAAGATTCAACAGCACAAAAGAGCAGAACAAGCTGATTCATAGCAGTGAGTCTGCCATCACTGGAGGCCTTCAAGTAAAGAGATTTTATAGACAAGGGTTTTTAACCTGGGTTCCACAGACCACCAAGGGATCTGTAGGATTGTAGCAGTCAGTTAATTTGTTTTTTTTTTAATGTAATAACTGAATTTCAATATAATTGACTCCATTTGTAATTTTATATATGTTGTTTTTATGCATTTAAAAACATTCTTCTAAGATAGAGTCCATAAGCTTCACCAGAGTACCAAAGGGGTCTATGACACACAAAAAAGATTAAGAGCCCCCATACTACATGCCACTTGCTAAGAATGTTTAGAGGACTTCCTGTTTGGGTAATGATTTAAATAGAGGGCTTCCAAGTTCTCTTTCTATCTCTGATATTCTATCAGTTATTCTGCAGGGCTCAAAAGAAAATGAGGACCAAAGGGCAGCAATGATAGAGGAATAGATTCAGGCTTAATGAAAGAGAGCTATTCAAAAGTGAAATGGAAAGCCCTGAATGGTGGAGCTTGCTTATTACAAAAGGCATTTCATAAAAGGCTAGATGGCCATGCATCCAATATGTAGTAGAAGCAGATTCCTGTTCAGATACGGTTTGGACTCTTTGGCCTCTGAAGTGCCTTCTAATGCAGAATATTGGCGATTTCATGATTTCTGTCCATTACCCACAAGTAACTGGACTGTTGCATTTTTTTTCTACAGCCTTTCTGTGGTCAGATAGAGTCACAAACATAATACAATACAGGAATTAGTACTATAGTAGATATAGATGACAGAGAAAGAAAGATAGAGATAGAAATAGAGACAGATACACTGTATGCATGCATAAACGTATATATGTAGATCCACATATATACATACGTATATGTGAATACACACACACACTCATGCCCACATACCTATCCACAAAACCCTAGGATTATAAACTCAACACAGTAACAAGGGCATCAAGATCAATAGAATATGCTAATTTAATTACATTTTGTGGCCATTTACAGTATACATCAATACATAAATGGATTTATAATCTTATTGATGTGGGTATTCTCTCCAGCAGTATAAATAATAGCTAGCATTTTTAAATTTCCAAAGCATTTTATAAATGTCCTCTCAATTCATCTTTACAATAACCCTTGGAGGTAGGTTCTATATAATAATAATAATAATAGTAATAAAAACAACAACATTTATATAAAACTTTTAAGGTTTTCAAAATGCTTTAGAAATAATAATAATAATAGCAAACATTTACATAGCACTTTCTATGTTCAAGGGATTGTGCTAGTGCTTTAGAATTATTATCTCTTTTGATCCTTACAACAACCCTGAGAGGTAGGTGCTGTTATTATCCCCATTTTATAGAAGAGGGAACAGAGACAGAGAGTAAGTAAATTTCTTGTGCAGGGTCACATAGCTAATAAGTATCTGAGGCCAATTTGAACTCAGATACTCTTGACTCCAAGTCCAACAGTCTATGTGTTGCCTTTTCACTCATTTGCAGAATGTTAGAAAAGAACTACATTATGTTTTCAAAATGAGTAATCGGTGTAAAGATGAAAAAACCCAACCCCTCTGTCCCTTCGTCTCTGCCATTCACACTTTTTCAATAGATCATCCTTCTTACAATTGTCTTAATCATAATGTATTTGAGTGGAAGCAACAGAGACTACATCTACATTTTCTCAATTGTAAAATATTGATTGTAAATAAAGATTAAATTTGAGTTTCATTACAGTTTTGTTGTGGTGGTGGTTGTTGTTGCAGGCCCTGAAGTTCTGGGCTTATGCATTGTGGGATAGTTTGATGAGATACACAAAGACTAATCATTCAGGGAAGATATTAGATATATTTAGATAGATATTAGAACATACAGCCTTGAAGACCTGGGCTCAGACAAATACCAGGCCCATAACTGTAAGCTATAGATAAATTGATGCTCCGTGTATCTTCTAACTCCCTCCAGGGAGTTATTTCATTGGTTCCTGGAAGTTTATGGAGGGAGGAGCTACATATGCATTAGTGTAGGAATTTCCATGCTGAAAGTGCCTTATAATGAAAAAAATTACAGCTCTACTTACACACACATTAAATGGGGGCACTTCCATCCTACTTTATAAAAATGTATAATTTATTTTTCACAATTAAATATTCTTTATTTGTGATATTTTAAATTACTAATAGGGCCTCGTTCTGCAGCGTGTGTAATTAATGGCATAGCCCAAAATCAAATAATCTAGGCTGGTCATTATAAATTAAGTTAATCTGGACAGCTGTAAAGAATGAAGAAAAGAATTCACACTATCTGGAGAGTTATAGTTCCCACCCAAATATGAGGACATAGATTTTTAAGCATACCCATAAGCTTTCTCTTTTCATCCTCCATTTTTTAAGGATATTCTTATACAGAAGGGCTCGAGTTTGCTGACAGATGCTTATCTCTCTTTTATTCATTTTTGACCTGCTTGTGACAAAAAAAAAAAGAGAGAAGAGGAATATTGGCAGGGGTGTAGGAAGCTTGTGCAAAAGAAAAATCTGAGTCATGTTTATCCTAAAATTAAGTTGTTTACTCATCAAATTTTCTAAGACATTTTTCAGCACCTCAGATAGATGAATTTCACTCAACAGTTCCTTGAAAGCATTAATGAATTTGACATTTCCTCTAAAAAGTTCATCTGACCATAGGATATTTTATGTAAGATAATTTTAGAGATGGAGCACAGAAAATGGGAGCAACAGCAAATTCCTTTTCCTCACTATCAAAGAAGTCAGTATTCACTGATTAGTCTCTCTCTGTCTCTCTCTCTGTCTGTCTGTCTGTCTGTCTGTCTCTCTCTCTCTCTCTCTCTCTCTCTCTCTCTCTCTCTCTCTCTCTCCTTCTCTCTGTCTCCTTTACAAAATAGTAAAATATTAAATTTGCCAAAAAGCATTATTAAAGGATAATACTTATATACTCCAGATGGCTGTTGACTAAAGAAAAGAGAACAGTGAAATTTAAGTGGAATTTACTCAGTATTCTTCCTAATGTCTAGCAAGATCCAAGTACTCTGGGCTTTGTCAATTACTTTATAATTCAATATTGTGATGAATGAGGCAGAACTTGTGACTCCAAAAGAGTTAATTATCCTCCACAAGTTGGAATCAAAGTTCAAAGTTCCCCACATTTGCTATGGGAACACATCAGGAGAACACATACATTTGCATGAATGCCAAAATAATGAGTTCAGGTCATTTTATTTTCGAAGGTGGCTTCTATTTTAATAAGTTTCTATTCAGAGATTTTTTTTCTGTCTTTAGGTAGATATTTCTGAACTGGACCCTCCAGTCCTCTAAATTACATTGGCAATGAGAAATTAGTTACCAGCTGAAGAGATAACAATGTCAGCTAGAACTAAAAACCATTTAATAAAAATATAAAAATTTCTCTTTTAGATAAAATGGATACTTCATATTCAAGGAATAATGGTGGTCTATTCTTTAAATTTGTGTAGCATGATAATGAGAACCAGACATAGAAAATTTTCTATTTTCTATCCATTTATCTATCTGTCATCTACCTATGTCTCTATGTATCTATCATCTATCTCACTATCTATCCATCTCTCTGTCTGTATATCTGTCCTCTACCAATCTATGTCCCTTAATTTTCTATGTGGAAAAAGTCTCTCTATGGACCTCAGCAATTTCCCCTAATAGTTTCTTTAAATTCATGAGGAAGAAGCAACTTTTCAGAAGTTTGCAAATCCTCTTTTTATAAAATAGAGAGTTAAAAAGACAAAGATGAAAAGTAACCAGAAATAATGTCAAATTAGCTCAAGCCTGAATGAATGTACCTTGAACATAATTCTCTAAGGCTATTCATTAGTGAATTTCATCTTATCCCTATGTTCTTCATACTCTGTCTACATATATTAAAATAGAAAGGTGAAAACTGAAAAATTCAGCTACTACATATGTTATATACATACCATATATTATATAAAAATGCTGATATTTTGTCCACATGATAAAAAATTTCAAACCACTTAAACAATTTATTTTTACATTTTCTATTCAGAGATTTTATAATAAGTAGTCTAGGGCTGAGAGCATTCATTCATTTAGTTGATTCTCTTTATAGTACCTACTACCCAAAAGGATGAATATTACAGGCATTTTTAAAACAACCAAGAGAAATAGAGATTAACTTACAATCAGGAAAGCCAGAGCAAGGAATCTTGAAATACTTTTAATCCATTGGTCTCTTTAGATCTTAGAGATTTCAAAGTCTTTTTCTTTACAAAATATTTTCATGTTTGCCCATATTGAATACTTCCTATTCTGATTGGTTTTTGAAAGAGGTTAATATCTGATTTCAATCAAGCAGCCAAAGTGATGTAATCTGGGTTATGAATTTTAGACTGTGGTCCATTATTTCCCTCCTCCTATCAGTGCAGAGAGATAGCATTTACAGATGGTTGGCTGGACATAGTATTCCGCAAGGAAAACAAATACCACATTTGTTCTTTTGGCTCTCTGCTTCCTGCATAAGGGAGAAAGAGCAGAGTTCAAGTAGAGAGGGAAGAAAACAGAATGTGGTGACCTCAATCTTAAAAAAAAAAAGTAAACAGACATAAAATAGGAGCAAATTTAAGTGGAAACAAGATGAATGGCAAGGAAAATAAAGCAGTGATTTAAAAAATTCCATAAATCAAGGTAAAAAGTAACGTATAAGAAAGTTCCATTTAAAGGATTAGCTTCACCTGAAACAAATGCTGCAAATCATAATAATAATGGAATTTTTAAATGGTTCTCTTGAGTTCACAAATTATTTTAACTTATCATATTTGCTTTACCTAATTTGTTTTTTTGAGTTGCAACAATAAACCTGTGAGTGAGCAGTGTTACTAACTAATAACTAATATTATTGCCATTTTATAGATGAGGAGTAGGTACAAAGTGGCAAGGTGACTTTGCCCAAATTCATACAACCCATAAGTCACCAGAATTTGAACACCCAGTCTTCCAACTGAAAAATCTAGACCTCTTTTTATTATGCTACCACTCAAACCTATAGCCCACTTGCCACTTCACTACTTTCCATTAAAGTAAATGGAGAGAAAACATAGGAATTTCAACAGCGTGGTATCATATGAGCTGGAAGAATTAACCCCTATTCTCCCTACTGCTCAATTCAACAGGAAATATTAGCCGTCAGAACATCAACACTTGATTTAAATGGAATACAAAGGGATTCCCGTTATGGCAACATGAAAGATCTTATCCAGCCCAGATCACCAAAAAAAAAAAAAAGTCTCAGCAAAAATGTAAAAGGATACCAGAGGAAATCAAGAAAACCAAAGAAAAGGAAAAATACCAGTGAGTTTCTCCATCAGGTTCAGAATTGCATAAGAAGATGAAAGGAAGCTCTGAATAGAATATAAGGAATGGGGAGAAGGCAGCTCAGCATCCAGTAAACTGAGCCTGAAACCGGTGGGATTTTAGCTGAAGTCACAGTAGAAGCAAGCCCTTAGTGTGTCATCATATAGGGAGATGGTAGAGGGGCAATTTGTGCATGAACCATTCCAAGAGACCAGAAGCCAGTCCTCCTGTGTGGGCCTCAGCAGAAGATAGCCATTCCCTGGTCTTGTTCCAAGAGATGGCTACCTGGATAGGAAAAGAAGAGGGATATATTTGGAAACAAATATGATGTATCAATCAAAAAGATAAAAATCTGAAAATATATTCAATATGGCTAAATTGAAAAATGTAATGAGATAGTTTGAGAAAGATGTGGACTTTTTTTTAGCAGACTCATTGAGCTGAGTCAAGCAGACTGACATGATAGTCAAAACAAACAAATAAGAGCATGTCTGGTATGAAAAGAGTAATAGTTTCCAGAGATAAGGAGGTGATAGTCCCTCTGTACTGTGTCCTGGTCAGAGTACATTTCTGTTCAATTCTGGGCAATTCTTGTAAGCAAAGTATTGTCAGATTCTCTTTTTAATCCATTAGGCTATTCCATTTTATGTGTAAGTTCATCTCATCATACTTAAATTATGATCATTAATTGTATATTCCCCTCCACCCTGTTGTCTTATGTTCTCCCTTCTGTCTCCCACACTTTATACATAAGACCTGTGAGGTGAGTGAAGAGTGTGCTCAGTGTCAGTGCTCTGTCAGATATAATTTGCTTCTCTTCTCTCTTCCTTTTCCTTTGCTTTCCTAATCACAGGTTCTTACCCTTTCTACATTTCCTTTTAAATGCCTTTTCATGATCTACCCTCTGTGGTTATAATTTGTTTTGCTTGACTAATACTTCCCTGAATTTACCCTCCTTCAGCATCCTCTGCCTTCTCCCCCTTTCCTCCCATTTCCCTGTTGAGTGAAACGCATTTCTGCACCCAAATATGCATTGTGTTCTTCCCTCTTTTGGCCACTTCAAATGAAAATCATGTTCCAGTGTCACCCACTGTGCAACAGCTTCCTCATTGTTTAAATAGTCATCTACTTGAGCACTCTTATGTGAGATAATTTCCCCCATGCTGCCTTTCCTTTTTCTTTTCCCTAATCTATTCTTTTTTCCATTCCTTTCCTTTCTCTTTTTAATATTATCAAAACATAATTTAACCACCCCTGGGTTTCAGACAAGAGTGTCTTATTTGATTCTTTCCATGATGCCTGATATTAGGATTCAGAGAGAACACTTGTACCATCTCTCCCTATTAGAATGTGAACACTCATCATTGTTTCATCCCACAGCTAGGTGGCACATTGGAGAGTGCTGAGCCTGAAGTCAGATCAATGAGAGATATTTTGAGCATTCTTAGACTACCTGAAAGCCCTAATAAAAAAAAGCCTACACATTACATTTCAAAAATAATTTTCCAAAAATAACTGTACAGATCTCTTCAAGTCAGAACAGGAAATTAAAATAGAAAGAATCCTTTAATCATGTCTAGAAAGAAATTCCAAAATAAAGGATCCAAGAACATTATAGCTCAAATCCAGAGCTTCTGGGACAAAGAATAAATATAACCAGCTAGAAAGAAAGAATTCAAGTACTAGGGAGGACCAATCAGGATCACACAAGGTTTAGTAGATAGCAGAGTCCAAAAGACAAAATATACTACATCTAAGAATAACTTACCCAGAAAAATTGAGTGCAATCCTATAGGGGAGAAAATGGATATTTAATGAAATGGAAGATGTCCAAACATTCTTGATGAAAAGACCAATGTAATAGAAATACATGAGCTGAGAAAAATAAAAAACAAAAAATGTAAATATGATAGAGCAATCCTAAGGGGTAAAACAGTAATTATTTTTGAAATGTAATGTGTAGGCTTTTTTTTGTTAGGGCTTTCAGGTAGTCTAATAATGCTTAAAATATCTCTCATTGATCTGCTTTTGAGGTCAGTGATTTTTGATATGAGATTTTTGTTGTTCAGTTGTTTTTCAATTGTGTCCTATTCTTTGTAATCCCATTTGGGGTTTTCCTTAGCAAAGATACTGGAGTGGTTTGCCATTTCCTTCTCCAGCTCATTTTACTGATGACAAAACTGAGGCATACAGGGTTAAGTGACTTGTGCAGGGTCACATGACTAGTAAGTGTCTTAGGCCAGATTTGAACTCATGAAGATAAGTCTTCTTGTCTCTTAGACTGGCACTCTATCCACTACATCACCTATATTTTGTATTTTTATTTTTCATGCAGATTTTATCAATCTCTTTTGTTTTTATACCACCAAAATTTCTCTCAGTACTCCTCCAGTTCACTTTGCTCAAAAATCAAACCATCTAACAAATAACATTTTTAAAGAAAAGAGGAAAATGAAGGGAAAATAGCCAAACCAATAAATATATCAAAAACAAGTCTGAAAATGCATGTTGTGTTCTGTTCCTATGGACCTCTAATTCTGCAAAAGAGTATGGTAGGGATATCTTCTCATATATACCTATTTTTTGAGGCTGTATTTGTTCTTTTTTTTGTAGTTCTATAGTGTTCATTTTGTTTTCATTCTTTTGTAGTTGTTCTTTCCATTTATATTGTTGTAGTTATTGTATATATTGTTTTCTTGAACTTGCTTACATTACTCTAAATCAGTTCAGGTAAGACTTTACATGCTTCTCTATATTCATCATTTCTTAACACTAGTAACATTTCAGTATATTCAGGTAAAAAATGTGTTTATTAATTACAAGTTGATAAGCATCTACTTTGTTTTCAGTCCTTTGCTACCACCAAAAGTGCTGCTAAAAATATTTTGAAGTATAAAAAAGCTTTCTTCTTATCAATGACTTCCTTAGGGTATGTGACTAACAGTGTATTGCTTTCCAAAATGGTTTCACTTTGGAAACACAGCTTCACCAACAAAGTACTAGTGTGCATATCTTCCCATAAAACTTTCACTATTGGCTATTCCCAATTTTTTCCCATATTTATAAAATTTGTTGGATGTGAGGTAAAAATAGTATTGTTTTGATTTATATTTCTCTTATTATTAGTGCTTTGTAGATATTCTTTCATACCATTATTTATAGTTGGCAGTTATTTTGAAAACTGCTCATTTATATCCTATGATTCCTTGTCAATTGAGGAATGACTTTTGACTTGAAAATTTTGATACAATTTTCCCCCATTCAATTGCTTCCATTCTTTTGCTAGATAGATGGATTTTGTTTGTGGAGCTTTTCGATTTCATTTAATTAAAAAATTTCATTTGTATGTTTTACAATTAACAATATACTATACAAGTTATTCTCAAAAATAGTGAAAGAAAATACCAGATCCTATTATGAGACAAATATAGGGCTAATACCTAAACAAGGGAAGAATAAGGGACAGAATGAGAATATAGACTAAAATCATTCATTTATATTGATTTTAAATTTTTTTATAAAGTCTTTTGAAACATACTACACTAATTGATGCAAGAAATCATTTATTATGATCAAATTAGATGTATATTAGAGATGCAAGCATGATTCACCATTAAGAAAACAATCAACGCACTCACATTAAAAAAAAAAAAGACCCAAAGCCAGATTATATCCACAGATTCAGAAAAAGCCTTTGATAAAGCACGTCACTCATTTATACTAAAAACTCTACATGCATAAAGGGATTTTTTTGTATAATAAAAAGTATCTTTCTAAAACCAAAAGCAAACTTCATATATGATGAGGGCAGTAGAAGCTTTTCTAATAAGTACAGGAGTAAGCTAAGGATGTCCATTATCCCCACTATTATTCGATATAGTTCCAGAAATCATAACAATGACAATAAGACATGAGAAAGACATTAATGCTATAACTATAGGCAAAGAGGAGATAAAATTATCCTAATTTGCTAATGACATTGTTTACTTAGAAAACCCAAGGAAATTGGCAAAGTTACAGATTGAACGATTAACAACTTTGCCATAGCTGCGAAATAAAAAATAAATG